CCTGCTGATTATTTTTTTCTATTTCGCGCTGATATGGCTGTAGAGTTATTCCGTTACCGGGATCATTTACTTCATAACTATGTTTATAGTTGAGAACATCTTATTATTTCTTGTTCCTAATAATGAGTTGCTCACGTCGATTTGAGAAACGCTCGACTTTTCTATCCAATTTAATTGTATCCCAACTAGTTTTCATTTCCATATTTGAATAACTGATCTTTTTTCCTCATTGCTGAGGTGCATCTTTCGTTGAGCCTAGTTCTTCAGTATACCAAAATTAGTTATGGCTTGTCTGGCTAATTGATCCTTTGACTCTTTGCGGCAAATTTTTTCATACTAACATTTCTTAAAAGCGTAACTCACCTCAGGTATTACGTTGATTCTGTTTTCAGTTTGCTTATTTCATTCTTGTTTAAAGTCCAATGTGTAACTGCCATTTGCGTTAATGGCGTCTTACACAGATGTAGTCGAACTTCACAGTCTCACCTTCAAATATTTACTGAGACTTGAGACTCCATTATTCACCTCATTAAAACCTCTCTATACTAGCTTTAATTTCCATTCCATCGATCGATCAGCTTGAGATTACATTTCGTCATAATCACAGTTTCATGTGAGGCTTGCATTTTTAACATCTGGCCTCCCGGACCTTTAAGCCCAGAATGCAGATCGGCCTATACATCCGAGTGTGCATCGAGCTGCTTACCTCTGCCATAGGCATATTCGGAAACATCACTTGCTTGGTGGCGCTCTTTCGAGTCCGATTGCAATCTGACCGCTCCTACAACCCACTCGTACTACTTCATCTGCTGCAGGCATTTTTTGATCTGCTCATCTGTATGCATGGACTATGCAGTCCTCTCGAGGCGTTTGCGCTTTCAATTTTCACCTGCCTTACTTTGGTACTGCGCCCGCTCATATGGTTTTTCTACTGCCTACGTCTCTATTGTACCTTCCTTTTGGCCGGTATCAACTTCATCCGTCTTCTACACCCTTTCATCAAAGCTCCGGCTCAGCTCCTTCTCATGGTCTTCTTTACATGCATTGTCTGCTTAATCACCGCTTCCATCGGAATGCTGCCTCTATTGATAGAGCCAAGGTTTGCTGACGGCCTCTGTCCCACTTTAGGGGCAAAAGGTCAGAAAGATGTTTCCCCTGCAGGTGACAGGGCAGCAGTAATCCACCTCCTTATTCTTTTTAACTTGGCTATCAACTTTCTTGGCCCATACTCAGCCATCTTTCATATGTACCGCAAAATCCTAGCTAGCCTCGGCAACAGCGACGACGAAACGCGGCAACTTGCCTATCAAGAGCTGAATAAAACATATCTCCTTGACTCTCTGTTTTTGGGAGTCTGCAACTTGCCTCTAAATTTGTACTGTTTAGTAGCTCTTCATCAATCAGCTAACAGGCCAACAGTTCTTTTTTTGGCCACCTATCCATCAATTGTCTTCGCTACATTCTACCCATTCCTATCGCTGGCCTTTCGGCGGATGTACAAAAAGGCTATTATGGAGAACTCTAATTTTTTTGTAAAATTTCTGCTCAATAAGGTCTCATTACTTTCTCACCCATTCATTAAATTACGACACTGATAGCTAAAATTCACTTACCAATTTATATTTGTTTATTAATATTTCTTAGATCACTACGGCCTAATTTTTTCGTCTCATATTTTCTACATATTTTTTTCTACATATTTTCTTCAACCTTATATTTACTCACTTCATCTTAGCCTCCGATTTGTTGCAGAAGTTCCTGTATTGATGGTGCATGCACTGACTTGTATTATTCATCATCCAGAATTTTGGGTGTAGCCCCAATAATTGACCGCTTGGATACGTTTTTTTCTCAAAGTTACCTGTTTTTAGTTTATTTATTATTTCCATCTAACCGGACAGATGTATTGATATCCCAATATTTTTATTAGATAATCGACTATGTAATTTCCATTGCGTCTAATTTTTCGCCACATGTAACAAATGCAGTAAGAATTTTCTGGTACACTACTTCCATAGAAAGTTCCTCCCTACATGCATCTGTCTCGTTCATTTGCTTTTTTTCGAAGAAACCATATTCGTTACCAGTATTCATATCCATCTTCGTTTCCAAGTGCTTAGGCTTAAGTCGTTCCCAATAAATTATTATTTATTA